CTGGTTTTGCCGGACCCCCCCCCCTCTGTCTGGCCCGGTTCGTCAGGCCCGGTCCGTCTGGACCGGGCGTCGGCTTAACCCATAATAATAATAATAATAATAATAATAATAATAATAATAATAACAATAACGACAATGAATGGCAGAACCAGAATCAATATTCGAATCCCTCTTCTACTGCCAGCACAACTTGAGGTCCACAATAGCCAAGGACGCCCTTCTCCTTCGTCTTCAACTAGGACCTTTTGCCTTGACGTGCAAAAGACAATGCAAAGCAGCTGGCCACTTCCACTTAGCCGCCATGCCTGACTCTGTCTCGAAGCTTCTTGGTGCAGCTCTACCCCCACGTGGGCCTTCCAGATACAGCGTCCACCAAGGTGATGAAGATGGTGTGCACCATAGCCAGGTAAGTGCCCCTGGCGCTTCCCTCTCCTAGTCCCTTCTTCCTCCTCCTCCTGCCCGAGCTCCTCCACCATAGCCAAGGTGGGGAGCTGGGCGCCCTTCTTCCCACACAGCACTGCACAGGAGCGCTGCTCCTCCAGCGCTCCAGTGCGTGACGTCCAAACTTGCACGCAGCAAATGAGGAGCTCTTTGCCCCTCCAGGAAATGTAGCGGCCAGTTTTCCTCTTGGGCGGTGACTTCCAGGCCGTGCGGCCTCCAAGCAACTGGTTCCTCCTCCCTTTCGGAGGGAAACATCATTGCAGACTCTGATATCGCCCGTACAGTCTCTAGACTCAGACTACTGGGACTGGTAGCTGCCTAGACCTAGCCTACAACTACTTGGCCTCTAAAAATGCCAACTTTTTGTCTTCTTACCACAAGTTGAGTGGTACAGGCCTACCTGCTACTTCAGTGATTTTGCCCCGCTGCTCTAAGTGTCGCGGGCCTACACCAGCTGCTCGAGTGTTTACCCGCTGCAACCCTCGAAGTCACGGCCTAAGGTAAGTACCGGCCCTGCGGGGCCTGCCAAGCAAGCAAGTACCTTTGTGGGTCACACACACACTCAAGTCGACAAGCACTCAGACAGGCATGCAGACCAGCAAGCACGCACACACACAGACTGGGAAAACTCAGCAGAAATTGGGAATCTCAGCAAGGCATTCATTCTAGCGGCAAAACTCATAAATCAGCTGTATTCTCAGTCCGTGTTTGGGCAGGTCTGTACACTATCCTTCCCTCAAGAGAGAGTAACTCAATCTGAGTCCCTCACAAATCACTCCATTTTCCTCCTGGTACTCTCACGGAAAGACCAAAAAAGTAAAAATAAAAAGAGACAACTGCGCCTGTGACCGCTGCACAGTTCCGAATTGGCAGAAATAACAGTCTGCAAGATTGGGCCGTGAGCAGTTCGAAACAGCAAAAAAAACAGTGAACTGCACGTTAGACGGCCTACCGGTTCGATAATCGGCAGAAACGGGAGGTGGCCTGGCCTAACAGGTACCGGTGGTGGGCCCTCCTGTTTTTTTTGTTTTTTTTTTCCCCTTTTCGGCTTCTGGCGGGAATGGGTTTGGGCACAGCCTGGAAAACGATCCCACTTTGTCAGTACGTGCGTTTTTTTGGAAAAACTGCTGGGGACTTCAGGAGGTGCTTAGAATCATTGATATAGCATATTCTCTTTTATATACTAATCAGTGATCACCATCATTATCATCTTCATCATCATCATTATCATCATCATCGGAATTACTATCTTACACTTTTTTAAGAATCACTAGAAGTCCCTCATTACTAGCATTACCATCATCAGCACATGAGGGACGCTGAGCCCGGTTGTCAGCATGTTCGGTTCGGTTACTCCGGGTAGACTGTGAGGACCC